AAAGATTACTTAGATTAAATAATTATGAAGAAGACAGCACAGTTTCTTTTTTCAAAGCAACTTTTAATTATCTCAAAGGTGGGAAAGTCCAGTTTTGTCCTCATCTATAGTTACAATTCAAGCTTTTATACTGTAGTTCTTTGCATTGTCTAAAAGCAATTACGTGATTTTTTTTTATTGGTCTTGTGCTTCTGTGTTCCTAGATATCCAATATAGAAATGAGGTTGCTCATTCAAACTTTAAGGAGCTCTCCTTGCCTCTCACATGCATTTATTAGTCTTTCAAAAAACATTTGTTGAGTGTTCCCAGTGTGTCAGTGCTGGGCGTAAATGGAATGAGATACTGTCCTTGACTTCGCTTTTAGGGAGGCAGCATGATGTAATGAAGGAACAGATTATGGACTTGGAAATAAATTTATTAAATCCTGCTTCTTTAGTTTCTTACTATGTGATTTTTGAGCCTTGTAGACCTTGAAAGATGAGTGTGGCTTGAGACAAAGATGGTGGGCTTTGGCAAAAGATCATATTTCATGAATGGCTTGAGTAAGCCTTAGCATTATTAAAGCACAGGCCTACCTAGGGAAGAAAGAATAAAGTGATTAGTATGACAGTTTTCAAATTTTTTTTTCAGAAGAGTGCTGAAATGGGACACCTTCTCCCCATGTATTTTTTAAAATTTGCAAAATATTTTTTTGAAAAAGTAATTTATGCCCATGTTAAAAGTTATGAAAAATATAAAAGAATGTATGGTGAGAAATAAGTCTTTCCTCCCATTCTTGATCTCGTCTTCCTTTACTTAGTCAAACATTGTTAACAATTATATATTCTTCCAGAGATTTTTTTTTCTTGCGCACTCAGGTATGTGTATTCCTTTTGATAGAATTGCTAGAAATGCAAATGGTGGCATTCTTTACCTAACAATATGTTCGAGAGGTCATGCCATGTCAGCACATCTTTTACACCATGCTTTGAGTAGCTGCATAGCATTGCATTGCATTGCATAGCATAGATGTCTTAATGTTAAAAAGTTTCTTTAAGTCTCCTTTGGTGAATCTTTAGGTGGATTCTGATAGTTTCTTCCCAGAAATAGCATTGCAGTTGATGTCATTGGTAGGATAGATTCCTAGAAGTGAAATATCTGAGTCAGGAGGCTCCATGCATTTTAAATTTTGGTAGCTGGCACCAGATTTACCTTCACAGAGGCTTTTTAGCTGTTTATACTCATTTCTGTGGTGTATGACAGTGCTTTCGCTGTATCCTGCCACATGATGGCATATTATGAGCTTTTTTTTTTTTTTTTTAGCTTTTGCCAGTCTGATTGGTTAAAAATATCTTATAATTTGCATTGTGAGTGATGTTGAATATCCTTTAATATGCTTAAAAAGCCGTTTGTATTTTTCTGAACTGTTTCCTTTAACACTTTCTTCAGATGAAATTTTTTATCTGTTCTGGTTGAAGAGGGCATGGTTCTGGTGCTCTGCCTGGTTAACCTCCCCCGTCTTCCTCACTGACTTAGCTCAGAGGAAACTAGGGCTCTGAGGAACAGTATTTTATGCCTCTGAATTGGTTCACTGTATTGAGTGACAGGAGATGTAAACGAAAGTTTATTTTTGTGAACAACCTGTGTGTTACTCTTTAAATTTTTAATTTTTATTAGAAAATAGAGAATGAGTCAGATTTGGACTAGGGAAATAAATCCCAGCAGATATTTTTAGAGAGAACTTTATCAGTAATCTGGGGGATGATTTGAAGGAGTTGAAAAGATATGAAATAAGTAATTTGGAGGCTGTTCTGTCTTAGGTCAGAGTTTATGGTGATCTAAACTCAGGAGGAGTGGAATTGAAAGGGGTGGGGTAATGGATGAAAGTATATTTTATAATAAAAGTACACAAACAAAACTTAGATGTGAATGATACTTTAGAAAAGTAACTCTCATGTGTGAAAATTTTAGTCACTAGCCTATCAAAATCAAGTGCTGGATTAGGCTCACTGTCAGCTTTTATCTTTTAGATTCCTTCAACACCAGTTTTTTGTTTTCTTGCTTTTAAAATAAAGGTAGGCTTTTCATCCTTTGAAAGCTCCTTGGAAAAAACTATTTCTACTGCATGGAACAATGCCTAGCCTAGGGTAGGCCTTCAGTGAATACTTGTTGAATGAATGCCTTTCAGAAGGAAAGTACAGTAATAATTGTCTTTCGTTGAATTTCATATTTCAGAAAGATCAGATTTTGCCTTGAATTTTGGACTGTATATTGTGAAATAGCAAATATTTCTAGCTTTATTTTGCAGTTAAATGTAATTGCCTCTGCCAAGGGTGAAGATGCTTTTAGAATGCTACATTTCCCAGGGTTATGGGCGTAAGTACTGGAGACAGGAGAACCTGGAACTCTGCTTTTACTCTGTTGGCCAATGGTCTGTTTCTTTCTGGGTCCCAAAATCTGAAGTAGGGGGAGTTCTAGATTGTGCTTTGCTGGTAGACCTTAATCCTTTAATCTTTTCTAGGTAGTAGCTCTCCCTAAGTAGCCTATTTTTTTTAAGATGCTATATATCTTTCAGGAAAACTTGCTAGCTGGTCCCCTTGCTAGCTGGTATGTAATGATCCCCTTGTATGTAATGTTACACAGGGCATGTAGCGAGTTTGATGAAGATTTATTCATGGTAGTAAATACTTTTTGAAGTTTCATATTTTACAACACAAATTCTAACTCCATTTTTAAAATCACTTATAAAATGTGGAACAGTTTTCATTTTTAAGACTTAAATGGACTTTTGCAAATATTGATCCAAACTAGAAATTTAGAAGATTCAGATCATTGGCATATTTTATGAGGTGAAAAAAAAGTACAACAAAGAAATACAAATGGAAATGTATATAATTACTCAAGTCTACATAATGTTTAGTCTAATTAATGCTATTTTTATACTATTTTGACATACAATTGTCTTAGAAATGACAGCACATACTTAGGGTATACAATTTGATAAGTTTTGACATTTGTATATACCTGAGAAACAATCATCACAGTCAAGATAGTAAATAAAACCATCATCCTCAAAAGTTTCTTTTGCCCTTTTTCATTTTTGTATTCCTATAAATATTATTGTACTTTCTTATGGGATACAATTAAGTTACTTGCAAAATTTTGGGTCTTTGTAAGATAGGACCAGATCAGTGTTTACACCAGAGCTAATCCCCATTACATCTTTCTGGATATTCTGTCCAGTACCCCAGGAATCATGGTGTTGTCCGGTGTGGCTGGTAGGAAGAGGCACAATTCTCAGCTCTGTATGAGCTCTGGGCACTTTCCCTCCTAAACCTTTCTGATAGTTCTTTGCTTGGCCTTGGGTAGTTTCCTAACACACATACACCGAGCAAGTACCAAGCTGAGTACTCAAAGGGAACCTCCAGAGTCCTTATTTTGAATTTTTTTTTTCTCTTCTCCAGTACTCTGTCCTATGATCTGTAGCCTCTTTGATGTTCCTGGACTCTGTGCTCCTCCTGAACTCCCAGAGTCTGCTGGGCTCAGCCAGGGTTTTCTCTGCACAGCACCCTTGAAACTCTCAAGGCAGCATGCCAGGGCTATAAAAATAGGGCTCACCTCATTTATTTCCTGCCTCTCAGGGATCACTCTCCTTTGTTGCCTGTTACTTTGTGCTTTAAAAATGGTTGTTTTATATATTTAGTCCAGTTCTTTGTTTCAGGCAAGAGAGTAAATCTGGTCCCTGTTACTTCATCTTGGCCAGAAATGAAATCCTTGCTTAATGTTAGATTTAAAATGATCATGATAAATAAAGCTTGGTTCTTTTGTCAGAATGTGGTATTATTTTTCTTGTAACCCTGAAAGGGTTGATCTTTAATATGTGACTTAATAGTGTATTGTATGTGTGATAGTAATTGCCATATAGGTTTGTTTTTTTAAGCAGTCGTATTTAGTTTCATTAGGAAGACTGGCTTTGCATAATTGAATAGTTACCACTTAAAAGTTTGTTTTAAACTTTAGAATATTAGGAGGTAAAATCCCAAATCTTAGATTTTACATGATTAAGCACAATATTGCTTCTATATTAGAGATTTGGGGGCATGTTTCTCAAATTAGTTAGTAAAGCCTTATATGTAAAATCTTAATACCTCACTGAAGTTTTGTTAGGTGGAAAACTCTTAGTTAATAAATTATTTTATTTGTAATATTTTGGATTCTTTTAAGAAGTTTCATAGAAGGATCTAGGATGGGAATCAACTTTCAGATCATACTTCTACCTCTTTTGATGCATTTAAGTTTTAAACCTCTATTTTTCATAATTTATAAAAGAAATGTTTTTTAAAATACATTTTTAAAGGTTATCTTTAAAACACTATAGCAATACTTTACAACTGTATTCTGCAGAATGCTGCTCACCTGAAAATACTGGGTGTGTTCGACAGTAGAGGAATGGTTGGTTCTATTGTCAAGTCACTGAGAAATGAATTAAAGTAAGACAGGCATTTTTAGTACACCCTTCTTCACAAAACTCATGCATAATGGTGTCCGTTAACAGTGTTCATACCACACCTCTTACTATAACTATAGAAGTATTAGTTGCTCTTCATGTTTATGCTTTGACTTTTTGTCTGATTTATGGCATTTGAATGCAATATTTTAAACAAGTTTCACCGTATCTATACAATATCTCATTTCAGCTGGTGTATCTCCTATAAAGATTGGGGCAAGATATCAAGTCAAACTAAGTAAGCCTGTGCCAGTTCTTTAAAGATCTCATAGGCATACCTTTTGGCAAGTCTTAACACATAAGTGTTAAGCACAAACCAGAGGTAGAAAGAAGGAAGATAGCATTCATTTAATACTATTATATTCAGTGTATTGTGTGAGTTACTTTGCATTGATACTTGGAAATTGGTGGTGGTACCAAGTAAGGACATCAAATATTTTGCCCTTGATTAGAAAGCTGGTAAGTGAAAAAATCTGGACTCTCTGCTGTCTACCATATTGCCTGTGGAAGAAATAGTATCATGAAAAATGAAAGGGATAAACAAATATATTTCAAATTTTGTTGGATTGGAGAAATTAGATATTATATGTCTAAAAGAAATTAGTATCTTAATTATATATTAATTTATCCCTCACCTGTTTTCCAAAGGATATGGGATAAGGCTTTTATTTGAAATCTAATATTTTTCCTAAAGGCTTTAGGATTGAGTTATGTTTAGAACTTTTAATTTCCTTGTGATTTTTGAGACTTTCTAAACTTTACATTTATTAGATAGTAAAATTATTTCAAATATACTTCAGTACCTTCTGTGTGGCAGGCATTGTGTTAGGCCTTCAAAATGAGCCAAATATTCCATAATATACATTTCAAACATATAGGTCATTTTTTTATTATCACTATTATAATAAATATTGCTCTTTGTCTTCTTGGGAAGTCTCTTTATCTCTCTGGTTTTTTAACTTCCACTTCTTCAGAGCAAAACTCCCCACCTTTCTCACCCCATGGCAGGTAGCTCCATTAGTCTCAAGAGGACCCATTCATTTTGCTTCCCTTGTCTGCATTTTGTGGAGCGTGTATATTATAAAACAATAACAGTCTGGCCCTCGTGTGTTTCATTGTTTAGTCTTCTGCATTGAATTAAACAGAGATGGATGGGATGTAAATTTAATAATTCTTGTAGTGCCCTCTAGTCCCTGACTGTTCACTCCAGCCTCAGTTGTGTAGTTTTGATTGCACACAGTGTTGCTGTCTCCAGTGCCTTTGCTCCACAGTTGCTGCTGTTATGGAGTGTCTTCCACACAGTTTCCTCTTTTGCTTTCTAAATATTTACTTGCCCTTTCTACTTCAGTACAGGTATCACATCTGGAACCCTCTTTGATTCCTGCCCTTCCACCTCTTCCACTGTGCCACAACCTATGTTAGCTAATATTATAGAGCTCCGTCAGTTTTTTTTTTATTTGGTGTGTCTTTCTCCTTATATTTTTGTTGTCTAGCGCAGTACCTATCAAATACTTAGCTGTTCAGTACATATTTGATAATGCATAAATAAATGGCATTGATTTTTATATTTATCATTTAAGAAAACTTTAACATTCAAGTTTTAAATGTTTCATCTATTATAAAATGTTTTTCAGGACCTGTATTATTCGTCTGAAAGACTCATAGGTAGATTTTCCTTTTAAACTGTGAAAAGAGTTATCAGAAGCCATATTTGTATAATTACATTCAAGTGGCTATGGTGAGATTTTTTTTCTAATCCACTATCCCTCTATCTCTTAAGATACAGATCTTATGAATGAGACAGAGTAAAGGACTTTAGGCTGGATAAAGATTAGGGTTTCCTGCTGGTTTGTAATTATCAGAATCTGGATGGGTATTTATTTGAACGAAATGATGCATGCATTGTGTACATCAAAAGTAAAGCATATGTGATTGTTAGAGGAATGTTTGAATTCCCCGATGAGATGTCATGGGGTGTGTTTATAAACTCCCACTAAGCAGTAGTTCTACAATGGAATTTCGCTGGCATTGAGATAATAATTTGCACAGTCAAATTACCTTCTTTACAAAACCCAGGGAATCATGAGGGCCTAATCCTTTATTAATGTCAACCCACAGGCTGCAAGAAAGCGTAAGATTGCCATTCGAAAAGCCCAGGGAAAAAATGTAGAAGCCATTCGGGAACTGAATGAGTATCTGGAACAGTGAGTGTCTTACAAGAGGATTGTGTTTTGTTATTCTGATAAATCTTTTTTAATTAAAATGGAATTTGCATTTGATTTTCCTTTTTTGTCTACATGCTGTTTATTTACAGAATATCTACATACTTTTTTCCTCTTTCCTCTCACCAGATTTGTTGGAGACCAAGAGGCCTGGCATGAACTTGCAGAACTTTATATCAATGAACATGAGTAAGTTGTTACACAAATCAAATTTTGTTAAGAGTGCAACTTTCATTACTATATAAGTTTAGAAGGCATAGCGGTTTCCAAAGGATTGGTGAGAAGGTATGAATCGTGCTATTTTAAATGAACAAAATAAACAATTAAATGAAAAATAAATCAACACTTGATTATAATATGTGAATTGCTCTAAGTCATTTGTGTTTTGCTAAATTATTTTTGTCTGGGAAATATTTCTTTCAAATACATGTGGCATTGTTTGGAATTAGAAAGGCTTGCATTTACTGAGCTAAGGTTGTTTTCAGTGAATCAAAATTGTGAATTTTTAGAGTTTAAATTGTTCTTATATACAAAGAGTATTAAACTCCCTGCTGTTTAAAAATTCTGTTGCCTGGGTAAAAAACCAAGAATAATCAAGAATGTTGAATGCTGTAGGAACGGGCTTATTGGATATTTAATGTTTTTGTTAGCTTTTTTATTGCTCCAGTGACAGGAGGAAATCCCAGTGTGAGAGGATTAGCCCAGTCTTAGTGCAGGTTTTCTAATATCACAGCATTAATGCCAACCTCCATCTAGAGGCAGGAGTTTTTTTTTCTTTTTTTCCCCTTAGTTCTTCTAAATCCGAAGTACATCACATGGTTTCTTTCCTTCTTTTTGAGAGAATAGAATCAGATTCTCATGTACATGTTCTCACTAGGCATATGTTACTCTCATTCTCGTGCTACAAATAGCTGACACAGGAAATAGAATGAAGACATTTGTCGCTTGCATTTGCCGAGGGTTATATGTGTAATGTGAAATGAAGAATTAAGATAGTTATCCACATAATTTAATGAAGGTGTACTGTATTCTGGGAAGCATTCTTAAGTTTTCTACTATACTGTGGCTATCAGATTGTCTTTGTTTTCCCTTATAAAATTATTTGCCAAATCATGTTCAGTATAGATGTATATATGCTTATATGTTTACATATGTAAACATACTCAGGATTCTCTTATATATGTGAAAGTGGTGGCATATTTGGTTTAGACGGCAAGAATTTCATTTTTCATAGTTTTTAAGTTCATATTTATAAAGTATACAGTATATAATTTGAATAACATGAAACTGAATTTTCAGAGCATAGTAAAAAAAGTAACATTAGTTTTATTTTGTCCCTAAAACAGAATACAGTCATTTAAGTTTTTGTGCTTTTTGAAGAACTTGTAATTAAAAGCATTTAAAAACATTTCAAATCATCAAGGCAATGTTCTATTTTAATTAAAGAGATACCTAATACAGAAAATTTGGAAAACCCCATAAAGACAAAGACAAAAATCACGTATAATTGCATCATTGTAAGTTAACTTCAGTTTATATTTGATTCTTTTCAATACCTCTTGAAACAAACGTAAAATAGAATTATCTTTCATAGCTTAATGCTTTTCACTTAATTATATTTTATCAAAAATTCTTATCACACTAAACATTCCACAAAGTGATTTCAATGGTTTTATATTGTTCATCTTATTAATGTTCACTAGTATTAACTCATTTCCTAGGGGGATATGAAGATTCTTTTTTCATTTTAACTGTAATGCTGTACTGATTATTTTATTTCCTTTAGCTAAATTTTTAGAATTACTTGATTAAATGGCATGCACATTTTCTGTGGTTTTGATAAATTGTTCCTGATTGTTCACTAGAAAGGTAATATCAGTTTACTCTTACACCAGCAATTATTAGAGTATCCCTTTAACAATACTGGATGTTATCATTCTTTTTAATCTTTGCAAATTTCGATGAGTGAAAATTGGTTACAATTATTAAAAAAAATTATAAGAGCTTTGTATATAAATGATGAGAACCTTTGTCCTTTCAGAAATATATCCTTGTTATATGTCTTTTTTCATATTGATTTTTAACTAAAGAAACTTTATATTTTTAGATGGTCAGATATATCAATTTTTATTGCTTTCATCTTTTTTATCCTCTAAGAACTATATAAATATATCACCTTTGTTTTTTTTTATTTTCTTCTCAATTTTATTCTTTTTACATGTGTTTATAAATTTCTATATTTAGTTCTCAAATAGATTACACTTTATTTTAACCTATCGTTAAATTTATTATTTGCTTTACCTTGTAATGACCACATTCAGTTTTGTTTTATTTTGAATCTCTAAAGAGTTTGTTGAGATAGGGTTGAATGTATACTTAAGAGAAATAACTGAAAAATTCCAAGAAATGAAATACAAAAACAGAAAAGCACTTGAAAAATTTATTTTCAGAGGAAATGATAATTGTATTTAGCCTTCTTTATCTTATATCACAAAACTGTTTTTGATCTTAAAGCTAGTCATTCACAAAATGACCATTTAGTTTTTCCAGTTGAACACTTAGGAATATTAAGATTTAGGGTGGGTGGAAATAAATATCTTCAGATGCTTTGAAACAACATGAAACTCAAAATCTGTTCACTTAATTCATTTGACCTATGTGGGCCAGTCATTGTAGTAGGTAGGACTTTTTTGGTAGAAGTGGTAACTTATTGTGGGATGTCAGTTTAGTATTGTTTTGTGGACACAATGGCAAAAATGTAGCAATTTAGGATTTGCTAGATATATTTAACATTTTGTCATTCTTTTCTGCATATGAATAGTTACAAGCTACTTTATATGTAAGAGGTCATAGGTAGTAGTTTTGCTAGTCTAGATTTAGCATTTTTTACTCCAAATTTCCACAGTAGGGTGTCATATAAGTGTATTTAGTGTTTTTCTGGAGAAAAAAGGGGCCATATACTTTTTTAATATCTTTAACTTTCATTTAAGTTTGCTTCTCATTTATAAATTCTAGTATATATTTAGTCATACCAGTTGACCATATTGAGTGAGATAGTTTATTTACTCTATTTGCAAAATTAGTTTGATTTTATACTTTGTAAAGTCGGGGGAAGGGATCCTTATCCTTGTATGCGATGCTATATCATTTTTAAGAAAAATATCTTGGCATTCATTTTTCAGTAGAAACTCCTATCCACCCATTTTATCTTACTTTATGCTGCATAAGAACTAGAGCCATCGCTGTGCTTAACCTATTTAAATTTCTAAGAACATTTATTCCTAGCATTAATTTGAATTTTTGGCATCATCCTAGAAAAAGGAACACATTTAGAAAGGAACTGTCTTTCTGATGAAGTTAGATGTTTAAGGGAGAGACCACTTTCCTCTTCTCTTATGGAATGATGAATAAATGTCAGATAGATAAATAAATATAATACTTTCGTTCTAAAGAGTTTAGTCATTTGTTTATTCATTTGCTCAGTCATTTATTATATATCTATCATGTGTCAAGAACCAGTACTAGATTTTAAATATAAAAATGAAAAGGACTGAAAAGCTGCATGACCTTTGATAAGAGTCTATATAGAACATCCTTCATAAATCTATATGCTGTGAGTTTTGGGTGATCAGCAGGATGTTTTTGGTTCCTCAGGCCTTTTGGATTTGATCGCTGTACCTATTTTCATGTTGTCATTAACATCTTCATTACTACCATCACCACCAGTGTTTTTCATTATGGAATGTAGTACTTACAGGCAGTACTCGTAGTGAGTGGTTAAGAGTGTAGACTGCCTGGAGTGGCACAGCCTGGGCTTCAGTTTAATCTCTGCCTCAGTGTTCTCAACTATAGAATGCTAATAGTAGTTTCCTGCTTCCTAGAGTTTGGGTTGGATTAAACAAGTTAATACGTGTAACACAGAGACATAACACGTAATAAGCATGTAACAGAAATTAGCTCTTATTAATCACATGTGTGAAACTGCAACACGTATAATTTGAAAATAAAGTATATTAGACATTGTATATTTGTGACAAGTACCAAAAATAACTGTACGTAGCCTTTTTCTGTTGGGTATTCTCAGCACCTCCTCACTGGGAATAAATCTTAGAACACGTGTGCTCTTTAGGATTTACTGTAAATAGGGAGGATATTCACATGGCTTTAAACATATAAAATACATTGAAGGGAATTAAAGTTACATGTGTAAAACCATTTTTCCAGAACCCTTGCAGCAGTTCTCTCCTTAGATTTTCAGCAAGATTTTTGTTTCTCCCACATGATTAAATAGTAGTAGAGTGCATACCAAAGCCGCGAACTTGACTAGTTTTCATGGGTTTAGAAATTTATAACTTCATTATAATTTTGTATTTGACAGTAAGCTTAAGTAATGAATAGTCTTTGTAATAGAATATGTTGGTAAATATGTCTGCAGATAATTTTTAGTTGAGAATATTTAATAAAATGTTGATTTCCTCCTTACAACTTTAGCTCTTTGAATATTTTCTCAAATGATTGCGGACTTCTAGAAGTTATTTTATATGTAACCTAATCCAAGGTCTTGAAGTCTGTGTTCTTAATGTTTGGATGATTTAGTAGTGACCCAGTTATAAAAATGTAGTATTTATTGATTGTTCATAGGTTGCTTTAGGATTTAAGCCTCTGTTTATTCATTTCATTAAAAATTTAATGTTATTTATATTTATGAATTCAGGGTAATAAGTACTTTATTAATAAAATTATTTAAATTATTTAGGGAGTAAAATGTCTAATATCACTAAAATTGTTTTAAAATTATTTTAAGGCATAGCTAAGATAAAATTTTTGACTCTTAAAATTAATTTCTTCTCGATATTTTTCAGCTACGCTAAAGCAGCCTTTTGTTTAGAGGAGCTTATGATGACTAATCCACACAGCCACTTATACTGTCAGCAGTATGCTGAAGTAAGTGTTTTCAAAAACAAGAATTGTATGTGATTTTATTTTTGTCGGTATTGGGTATTATTATGGAACTAAGATTATGTGTTTAATGTTAGGCAAGTATATAAATATTTAAAACATCTGATGAAAATTGACTTGTGAGAGTAAAACTTTTAAATTTTTAATACTGTAATGGAAATACTTCTCAGTTAAAAGCACTATTTAAAACAGTGAAATTCTTTGTGATTTTTTTTGTACACTATTTTCTTTTCTAATTAAGAATTGTGTCACAGTTGTCACCACTTAATAGCTTTTATGACATATACAGTGATTACGATTTTTTAAAAATTTTGCTTAATTTATGGGGTGTCATTGGTTAATAAAATTTTATAGGTTTCAAGTATATAATTCTATAATAATACATCATCTTTGTATTGCATTGTGTGTTCACCATCCAAAGTCAAATTTCCTTCATCAACATATATTTGACCCCCTTACCCCTATCTCCCTCCCTGCCGCCCCCCTTTCCCTCTGGTAACTACTAAACTATTGTTTGTGTCTGAGCTTTTATTTGTTTTGTCTTGATTTTTATTTTTAAATCTGTAGTCTAGGAAATTTATGTTAAAGTCATTATTTTGGGAAGTAGGAAGTATTTTCTTACTATCTTATTTTCTTACTATTAAAGATAGCAATATAATTGAATGCTATAAGGTTAGTTGGACTTTATTATTAAGGACTGTTAATAGAATAGTTTTTTTGAGGAGATTATGCTTTAAAGATTAGCTTTAACAACTTTAAGGTGAATTTTTTAAACATCTTTGTTTACAGAATATCTGTTTCAGTTACTAATGCCTATGATATGATGAAACATGCTATATTTCAAAGTAGTAAAATAAACAAGTTTCAGCAGTCTGCAATTTTTAACAGGTTAAATATACCCAAGGTGGACTTGAAAACCTTGAACTTTCAAGAAAGTATTTTGCACAGGCATTGAAACTGAACAACAGAAACATGAGAGCTTTGTTTGGACTTTACATGGTGAGCTGAGGTGCATGTTTAATGTTATTTTACGAAATTTGTCATTTAAAATCCATTAACTATCCTATCTAGTCACTTCCCTCTTGTTTTTTTTTTGTAAGCATATGAATTTTTTCCCTTTAGTTAATTGTGAGTAATATAATGTAAGGTAGTTTCGATTTTGAATGTAAGAACATTCTAGCTATTTGACATTTTGTTGTAAAGTATTTTTTATTGTATCAGAAATGAAATCTTCCCTCATAAAATTTAATAGTAACAGATAACAAACCATATTATCTGTTCCTTGATTATTTTGATATTCTTTGGTTTATGCCCAACATTATTGTACTTCTTACCCTAAACAATAATTGTATGAGATATTTTTAAACTATGCCAACAAAAGACATTAGAAATAAAATCTCTAATGTCAAATTAAAATATTTTTATGGCATAGACAGTTTGAAAATTGTGTGAAACATGTAATTAAATATTTCTATTGTTTATGTGTGCCAAATGACAAGCTTAGTAAAGTCAGTTAATAATGGCTTTGGTATAGGAAGAATTTGTTGAGCTTTAACGTATAAATAAAATGAGATCCTCTCTATAATCAGAATCCTGGAAGAAATAAACTTTAATAGGCCAGTTCTTTGAAATTTTAATTTATCCTAGTCTTTTCATGGACTTTTAGATGAATGTCTTATTGAGGCTCCATGTAAAAGAATTAATTGCAGAGATGGAGGCAAGAAAAAACAAATGAAATAATTTTCAGGCAATAAATGGAATTTTACTTTTAAGAGCTAATAAAATGATTTTAGATATTATCTAAGATAGCCTTTCTCTTCCTATTACTTCAGATTATTCTGTATTTTAAAATGGATTTTCATTTTTAAACAATTTCATTCAACTTTATTTTAAAAATAGTTTTGGTACAAGTATTAAAAATTCTTTGTTATTGTCTATCCCATTGTAACTGTGACTCTTACATGTTTTTGATTATCTTGCTTGAAAAAAGACATTTTGTTTTTAATGTTTCTTTTTTGTTTTTAGTCGGCAAGTCATATTGCTTCTAATCCAAAAGCAAGTGCAAAAACAAAAAAGGACAACATGAAATATGCTAGTTGGGCAGCTAGTCAAATAAACAGAGCTTATCAGGTTAGTATTGATAATTTTATATTATGACAAAGGTCAGTTAATGTACTTTTTTAATTGTTTTTGTTTTTACCAACTACAAAGCCAGATGTCTGTCATTGGACTTTTATGCCTTTGAGTCTTTATCAAATATGTTCTAAAAAACTGTGTAGAATTACCTTGTAGGATCCCTTTTATTTCCCAAAAGGAGGCTGTTACTGTTATGATCCCATAATTACCCTTGCCATCTAGAAGTCTCAGTATTTCTGTATTTGGCAAATAAAAAGTAATTCCGAAAATCCAGTAAAGGATAAACAAATTGCAAGATGCATTTCAGAAGCAGATCAGATATATGAATGTGCTATTAATCAGAGATTTCTCAAGTAATAAGAGGAAGAAAAGCCTAAAAGTAAACCAACCAGAGTATATAACAAAGCTTATGTACCCTGCTTACAAGTCAGATCTTATCTGATTTTCTGAAGCTCGTCCTGAGGAGATAGATTCTTGAGGAGCAACTCATGGAAAACCTTACGTCTTGTATGTTTATAACTTACCTGTCTATAGTCCTTATATTTGAAAGATGATAGGCTTTTTATACAAACTTTGGCTTATATAATTAAGTCTCAAACATATTGTTTCATTGTTTTTTAGGATAAAATATTGTCAAGAAGTTTGATGCCATACTGATTAAGTTGTCCAAAATAATTTATCTTTAAAATTCAGTAGTTTTACTACAGTATGTGTTGTTGATTTTTCTTGGGTCAGTTTTTCCAAATATACAGTAGACCCTTTAATATGCAGATTCAGTTCTCTTTTGAGAAATTTACTTTTAAAATTATAGTTTTAAATGTTTTTTTGTTTGTTTGATTTTTTTTTCCAGGTCTCTAGTTATAAGCTCATTAGCTCTCCTTTCCCACCTCCTATATCATTCATTTTCTTTCAGATCCTTTGTCATGTATTTTTCCTCTATAATAATTATAGGGAAATTCATATTCTTTTTCTTGTTCTTCATGTTTCAATGAGATAGTTTTCCTGGCCTATTAGGTAGAAGTTTCCATGGAATAGGGGGAGTCGGAAGATAGGATAACTTTTCCAACGGGCTTCTCTATAGCTTCCTCTTCTTTGTTAAAAACTCAAATATGACTTCTCTGTGTATCCAGTCTTTCTCAGAAACAGTGTTGCGAGTTTAAGTCTTGAATTTTGAGGTGCTGTGCTCAGCTTTAAAAGTTGCATTTTGTTTTCTTTTGTTTTGCTTTTCTTCTGGAATTTGCTGCCTCCGGGCATCACTTCGTCACTGTTCTCCCCTTCTTATCTGAACCAACGTGAACCCACCTTGCCTCTTACCCGCAGTGTTTCTGTCCTGGTCAATTTGGTTTCACTTTCCGGTAGTTTTCTTTCAATGAGATGTTTATTTTTTTCATTCTGAAGAGAGTTTTAGCTGGATATTTCAGCAAGTTTGAGGTCTCAGACTATTAGACTTGTTTAATGTTACATTTACATGAAGTTTTTTGCACTTATCTTTAATTTGGAGCCTTTGAGACTCCTGGTTTTGCGAGCCTTTTACAGATTCATCAGTTTATAGTTTTTTCCTTTCTGGGGCTTGTAGAGTAGTAGTTGTCCTCTTTTTCACTTCGTATTGCTCCTATCACACAGCTGTTGATATTTTGTGGGTCCTACTGCTGTTGTCGATACAACCGCATTCTAAAGATTTGGAGAATTGCCTACAGTGTAGTTGTTTTGAAGATGTCTTTTGGTCTCATTTTCTGTTATTTTGGTTTTGGTGCCGTTTGTTTCTTTGTTTTTGTACTCCTGAGAATGTTGGGGAGAGTCAAAAAATTTATTGACTCCATAATCACATCATTTAAAGTAACTTTGTATTTTTCCTGTATATAGTAGAGATTGTTCTGTTGACATGTAAATCAAAGTATTAACTAGCTAGACCGTGCTTCTTCAAGTGCAGTTTGAGATAGCTCAGATCTATGCTGGTGTTTCTTTAACACACAGTAGGCTGAGAGAGAGAGAGACAGGTTTAAAGATAAGACTTGTATAATATAAAACTAATGAAATGCAAACTACATTCTTGTTTTTAAGACATTTTTGAGAAGCAACTAGCTGCTCAGAGTGTGTTTTTTGACATGGGATGAGTATATTTTTAAAATTAATTTTTATTAAATTATATATAGTAAAAAGAAACCCAAGTCATAACTGTACAATTTAATGAATCGTACTGTATCCAGATCAATAAGTAGAAACATTACAGCACTCTAAAGCCCTCATAATAAGTCCTTTTAGTTTCTACTTCTATCCTACTCAGAAGTACTGATATATAATCCTGTGATTTTGGCTTTTTTTGAACTTAGTGAAATTACATAGTATGTTTTCATTTCTGTCTGGCCAATTTCACTATTATATTTATGAGCTTTATCTGTCCTGTAGTTCATTCATTTTCATTGTACTGAAGTCTATTGTGTGGACATACTACATTCTATTTAGTTGATAGGCATTTAGATTATTTGCTGTTTAGGGCTATTATGAATAATACTACACTGAATATTACTGTACACGACTTTTGGTGTGCATATACGTATACTTCTAATAATATACCTTTGAGTGGAAATGCTAGATCATAGGGCTTATGTATATTTAACTTTAGTAGATAAAGCTTGTTTTCATATTAGTAGTTTTCATACCATTAGCAGTGTTAGAGAGTTCTCAGTTCCACACCTTCACTAACACTTGGTCCTGTCAGTTTTTGTAGTTACAGCCATTGTGTTGTCTGTGTAGTGGTATCTCATGGTTTCATTTTGCATGTCCCTGATTACTAGTGTATTTCAATAGTTTTTCATATGTTTATTGGCCATTTAGATAACCTCTTTCTTGCAGTCTTTTTCATTGGTTTAAAAACTTTTTATTTTGTTTTTTAGTTTCCTGATTATGAACCCTGTGTTTGGAATATGTGTAGGAAATCTCTTCATCTTCTTAATTTTACTTTCAAATGATTTTGATGATTAGAAGTTCTAAAGTTAAATATGTTGAACCTAATCATTCATTTCATTTACAGTTTGTACATTTTGTGTTCTGTTTAAGAAATCATTTGCTATTTGTGGTCATAAAGATACTTTTTTTTCATCAAGATAATCTTGTATGTCTTTAGAGTCTCCTTTTTAACTTCTGCTTTTCACATTTAGATGCAGAATCTGTTTGGAAGTGATTTTTTATGCATGATATGAGATAGGAGTCACCCCCTCCCCTCCACCCCCCCACCCCCATGTAGCTATCCAGAATGTTTCTACCATCATATTCTATCATGAGTCCCATTCCATGGAAGCTAGTACCATGTAGTAGTTAAGAGAAGAACACAGATGTTAGATCCATGTTGTATGGCTTCAAAGTTTGGCTCGGATATTTATTACCATCTCTGGGCCTAGTTTTTCATCTGCAAGATGGACATAATAAAAGTTTTCTAAGGAATAAAGGAGTTAATACAAAATTTTTACCAAATCACAGTGATGCATATTACATTGTGTTTACTAATCACATGTTCTAAGTTCAGTTTATTATGCCTGCTATGTTCATTGTAATTATAACAACAGTTATAATAGCAAACATTTATGGAAAATTTATTATAAGCTAGTTACTTTTGCTGTTTTACAAATGAAGAAATTAAAGCATTGAAAGATTACATTATTTCTCAAGGTGACATAGCTGGTTAACGACAAAGCTGTTTTCAAAACTAGGCAGTTGGACTCCAAAATTGGTGCTCTTAATGGCCACAGTATACTGCCTCTATAAAGAGATGTTGGGTTTAAATGTATCTGAAGCTGTAGTTATAGTTTCCAACTTTCTTATCAATTATTTTTCTCATATGAACAGCTGATATCCTTCCCTCACTTGTTCCTTTTTCATTTCAGATCTAAAGCTGTCAGTAGTAACTAAATTCAGAGGTTCCCCCCCACCCCGCATCTCTTCAGTAATACAAGACCAAGGAAATATGCCTTTCCCTGCCTTATGAGGTGCACTTTGCCACTAGACATGACTCCACCATTTCAGTAATTTAAGCCCTTATTCAAAGATCCAAACTGTTCTTTAGTAATATTTGCCCTCCCTGCCATTCTCATTAAAACAGTTTTTCGTTGTATCTTAATAGATCCATTTTCTTTTCATAGACTTATTTAATAAAGTTTCATTTTTTTTGGAAAGAGCACTGCGAACATCATTTGTGCTCTTCAGTCTTTGTGTTTTGCCCTGTGAATTCTATAGTCTTCAGAATTCACATAGTCTGTAGTATCCTGTCCTATAGAATCAAGAAAAGGCAAATCACGTCTTTATTGAAGACGTGATTTGCCTTTTCTTGATTCTATAGGACAGGATACTACAGAATTTTTGTCAGTTTCTGTCGTCTTGGACACCAGTCCAGGAAGATAACACAACTCTCCTTTGGTCATGTCAGGTCTCTGTTTGGCAGCATCCAGTACTCCTCAACTAGGAATCACCCATCATGCAAAACTTATTTCTGCCTCTAGACACAAATAACAGGTTTTAAATAAATCTCTTGTTGCTTTTGAAGCTTCATATTCTGTGCAGAGGTTCTGAGTTCTCTTTCTGTGAATCATATTCCATAAATATTGTGCCTTTTACCCTTTGCTAACTTAATGATTTAAAATATCGGCTTATTTCCTTAGATTCTGTAGGTAGGCTGTTTGGCTTGGGCTTAGTTTAGTAACTCTGCTGGTCTCCACTGAGCTTATTTATATTTCTGTCCTATGCTATGGTTGATGGCCTCACTTAAATGTCTGAAAGTTGGCTCTCTGTCAGCTGGGAATGCTAGGCCTTGTGTGTCTCATTTGGCAGGCTACCTTGGACTTACTAACATGGTGGTCTCGGGGTTCCAAGAGTAGCAAGCAAGCAAACTCCAATTTGTAAGGGCTTTTTCAAACCTCTGGATATGTCACATGTTGCTAATATTCCAGTGAGTAAAGCAAATCACATAGTCAACCTAGAATTGAGATGCAGTACATTACCTTTGAATAAGAAGGGAAATATGTGGTAATTTGGCAATGTTTTATACTATTGTATAACTCCATAGTCCCATCCTTCTGCTTCTGTTTTGCCTTTTTCTTTTCATCTGTGTTATTGAGGTATAATTTACATATAATAGCGTGCACACATTTTAAATGTACAGTTAAGTTTTGGCAATTGTATATTCCCCTCTCACTACCACCCCATTTAAAGTATACAGCATTTTTATTACTCTAGAAAGTTTCGTTCTGCTGCTTTGCAGTCATCCCCACCCCCTACTGTAGACAAGCACCAATTTGATTTTTATCACTATCTATTAGTTTTGCCGGTACTAGAACTTTCTATAAATGAGATCATACATAGGTTATATACTCATTCGTGCCTGGCTTCTTTCACTCAGTGTAATGTTTCTGAGATTCATCTATCAACTGTTCTATTTTATTTATCCTATTACTTTGTACACTCACATTATTTCCCACAAACTATATAAAGGTAAATTTTAGTCCAACTTACCCCAGTTATTAAAATGGATAACTCGTTGACTTTTGAATTTGATAATCGAGTTTTAATTATTTGTGTTCTTTCTGGTAAGTTTTCTTTAAGATCCAACAGGGAATTAAGAAAAAGAATTTACTTAAGCAGAATCTTACTATATGAAAACAAAAATGCAGAATTTGTGATTAATGTGAAGTATAACTTTCAGAGATTGACATTTTAGTAATTTAGAAAAATCTGGGTTCTAATTGAGAACTTCATGACTCTTGTTGAGGCATATAAACAAATATAAAGAATATAATAAATACTCCTTATTACAATATTTTTCTAGGTACTTATAAGTTAGAGAAAATGAGGTATTAAGAACTGCTTTTTTTGTTTCTATTTAATAATGAAACAGAATATGGCTACTACTTGCTCTTCAATTAGGTAATTGGTTTAGCATGTTCAGTAGAAGCAGGCAAGTTTGATTAATGCTCATGAAAACTTTAATGTGAACCTACACGCAATAATTTTCCAGATAAATGCTTCTTTAGTACACTGTTAAATTCATCTGTGCTAGTGATCCATGTTATTTATGATTGCAGAGGTGATTCTGTTACTATCCTTTTGGGAAATAGAAAATTAAATCATGATTTGAGGGAAAAATAGGATTCCGGCTTAATCAGTTAAATTGCCATATAATTCTGGAATAGACAAAATAATTGCATGTCAGACACAATTCAAAGTGATAGATTTATATTTCCAACTTTCTTTTTATTTGTTCTGACACAAATAAGTTAGTTTGGTTTATTCCAAATAGCACTGATTGTCAGTAATATTGATACACAGTCTTAAGTGATTTTTTAAAATTAGCTAATTAAAATAAATCACAAATTCATATTTACTGTTTTTTACTGTGTTTAAATACAAACCAAAAAAAAAAAAATGCTGTATTTTCAAATACTTGTTATGACTTCAGCTCTGCAGAAATTTTTTATTTTTGTTTTGCTATGTAAATGTTACTATGTGGTATCCTATTTTGTATCCCCTCCTCCAACCCATCAAAGCTTTTTCTTAGAATTAGACCTTTAAGTATCTGATTAGGACCATTCCTGTTTACTTTGGATAGGCAGTGGTAAAAGAAAAGGCTTTCTGTTCTGGGTAAGTCCTTGTGAAAGTGAGTTTCTCAACTGGATAATAAGAGTAATAAGCACACCCCACATCCTTTACTCACCAAAGGAAATTATGAAAAGGCAAAGTTTTAAATGTGGTGTTGCTTTTACCATATTTTGTAATTCTGACTTGTGTATTTAACATTTAAATTCCTTAAATTAGCAATGTCTTATGCAAGATAAAGTTATCTTGATTCTTATGAGAAGCTTTAGCTTTTCCCTTTTCCTGGCTTTGCCTCTAGAAATCCCCTTTATTTACTCTATCAAATCAAGATTCAATCACAGAGCTGATGGTTTAGGAAGTAGGGAAATCATAATGTTAAACTGTAGCCAGAAAGGTCAGAGGCAGGTTACCATTCCTGAAACCTATTGCTTCTATGATGTTACCTGTACTTGATCACTTAATCTTTCTCAACAGGTCATGAGAAGTTTGCCAAATTAAGTTAATTACAAAAGAGAAGGAACACATCATAAATCAAGCACTAAGTACTTAACACAGCATTGGTATTTGAAGGAAAGATCAGTCACATGAAAATGTCACTTGAAAACACTATATGTTAGTAGTAAATGTTAATCAATACTTTGATCAGGGAGAAAACAGGTAATATAGATATTATAAACCTACCCCCATAAGGAATACTTATCTAGTAAGTCTATAGTGTTTAACTGATAGATGATGGGTATTGTCAGTTTAGTTAGAAAACTCATTTTGAAATCAGCATAGGATATTCAACAGTGTTTTCCTCACTGATTATATGTACTTTATTGAATTTAGTATGCCGTGAATATGCTTTTAAATATAAAAAGATAGTATTTAATATATTTTGTTTTCATTGTAAAATCCAATCCCAATTTGGTTTTATATATTAAATAACAGCTTAAACTAGAAATGCATATTTTAAAACATGTTTACAGCTTTGTAACATGTAACATAGTGTTTTATTTGACAGATCTTTGCTGCAGAAACATAATATTATCTAGGCAACTAACAAATCTGGAAGTTTTTTAAAAAAATTATGACCAATTTTAAATAATTTTAGATACCTTGCACTTTAAAATGCTTAATAAAAAGTACTTTGTATTTCACCTTTGTTTGAAATTGTTAAAATTTGTTGAGGCTAGACAAGTAGGAAATGGTCCCCACTCCTACGTAAATATAAACTTAAATTTCATTTGTAAATTATGCTTTTTATTTCATAAAAGTTTTCTGGTCCAAAAAGGACAGATTTAAATATCAAATCTATGTTTTTATAGGTATCAAACTGTTGAAACATTTAAATTGACCAGTTATGCAGTGAAATTTTTATACACTTCAACTGAAGATGAAACTTTAATGTCCTTAAAACCCAAATTTTGTTTTTATTGAAGATAACATATTTGATTTCATGCTGGTGATAAAATAATGTTAACTCTCATTAGCAATGTGAAGGTAAGATTTTGATTTTGAAACTGCCACTGAAATTGAGCCTAATTGCATTTTTTAAATTAGTTTGCAGGTCGAAGTAAGAAGGAAACCAAATACTCTCTTAAGGCAGTTGAAGACATGTTGGAAACACTGCAGATTACCCAGTCTTAAGGTTTCAAAAACTCTTTCACATTATACTTCACAACTGTACATTTGAACTTATTGGCCTGTGACTTATTTACTAAATGCCCACTGCTGTTTATGTACTAATTTTCTGTTACAGCAGTCATAAAGAATGTGTTTATATAAACCTAAAAGGCCTTTTACTCCTAAGCAGCAAGATGGGGAAAGTCTATGGAAGCAAGATTTATGAAGAGTCTTATTGATTGTACATCATTCTCTTCATATCACACATATATAACTGCTTTTAAACCATAATCTGATGTAGAAATAACTTCATTAAATAAACCATAATGATTTATTAAACTTGCACATGAAGATTTTTGTCATACTTAATTAGTGAATATGTTGTTTTAGAACTCAATTTCTAGTTAACTCCTTTTTATTTGTGATATATACGTAGCAAAAATAGCTGACAAAAGCAAATGCTGGTAAATTATTTTGACTTTATAGTGTCAGATTGGATTTTGCTCTGTATTTTAGTAGGCTGTTGTTTTATGTACTATAATGTTACTCTGGTAAATCATGCTGAAATGTCATTCTCCAGAATGCAGCATTATCTCTTTGTAAAAATATTTGTTCTGCCATAGGACATAATTGAGATTTTTTTAACCTATAAAATGCTTTAAGGTTCATATAATGCTCAAATTTAACCTTTATGAAATTTATATTTATTGATCCTTTAATCGTAAATTACATAAAAGGATATTTGCAGATTATAGAGAATAGGAATTAAAGGAGTTCCAGTGCTGAGTTATTTTTACTTTAGAAGAAAAATTTTTACAATTCTCATATCTCATTACCTTTTTAGTAATAATTAGAATTTCTCTTTTTCTTTGCATACCAAACAACCATTATGCTACCTTCAACAGTATTTTGCATGTTTCAATAGAGTAGAAAGAACTTTGAAGTTAAACACCTTATTTAGACATAAATAAATTTTTTAAATAGGCAGTTGTTCATTCAGGGCAAATATTTAAGAATTGGTTTGTAATTTATACACATAAATTAGATATATATAGATTATATGCATAATCTTATTTATACCAATGTTATTTAGAAACTCCTGTACACTTGTCATTGCTGGATTTAGGCAAATGGAGATCATGGAGAAATTGACAACCTGAAAGTCTTTAGGAAGAAAACTTGTTAATATCAGCTTTTTAACCTTTTGAATAATTTTGTTAGTAAATTATTCTCCTATCTAATCTTATTCTTTCATATCATGGTCCTTTTCATTTGTTCTGCTGTGCATAATGAGCAGATATTGAAATAACTCTTCCCCTATGAAGATAATTCTTCTCAGCTAGTCTTTGTTATCACAAGGTGTACTCTTTTCGCCCATGAATTTAGTAAGTGCATTTTCAACGTAATCAGCCATTTCAAATTTGTTTGCTACAAAGAAAATAGTGCCCAAATACTATTCTACTATGATTCTTCTCTCTAACTTCCTCCCATCAGTCACTAAAGTAGTGTTTTCTTTAGCAATTAAATTTGTATAATAAGTAATTTAGTGCCTCTTATAACTATCAGCTTTAGTTTCACTTTGTTTTTGCTAATTTTGATACCTTCTTGCCAAGAATTTTTAAATTATTGCATATTAAATGTACTGACAATCCCATTGTGGCAGACAGTTGGCTGCCCAACCAAATTACCCCCACTTCTTCCTTATAAGCAGTATCCTATATTGTTCACATAGGAGCAGAGATCCCTGTTCCTCAAAGAGATTGGGACCTTACCTCAACCCTAGGGGCTGCATCACGGTTGATTTAAAACAAATGGTTTCATTCCTTCTAACTCTGTTATTCCAAGCAGAACTTTTTGCAGTGAAGGAAATATTCTGTATTTTTGCTATTTAGTATGGTAGCCTTTAGTGTGGCTATCGAGCTCTTCAAATGTGCAATGCAAATGAGAAATTGAATTTTTAATTTAACTTTCTTTAAATTTAAATAGCTGAATGTGACTCGTGGCCACCATATGAGAGAGCACAGATATCTAAAATGTGGGCAAATGATCTATTTAAGGTTAGAAGAATATTGGGAACGGTCTTTCTTTCAAATTAAAAAGTTAAAACTTCGTGAGGTGAAACTTCTTCTTTCTCCTCCCTCTGGCCACGAATGCCAGCAACATGCCTAGAAATACAACACCTACTTTACAACCTATGAAACAGCAAATATGAGACTGAAAAGCACATTTCAAAGAAGTTTCCTTAGAAAGATGAGGGGGGAGCCTGGGTCCCTTTGGCAGTGTTGAACACCTCAGCCAACATGAGCAATTGCAAACCTCTGTACTTACTACATGAGAAAAATAAACTCTTGATTTCTGTTACTTTAGTCATGTATGTTTCTGACATATCTATTATTCAACATATTTTTACCATGTGAAATCCTATAGGAATGCTATTTCAGAATGTCATCACTTAAAAATTAAGTAGATAATTATATATAACAAAAGAAGTAATATCTTGTTGTAAGTCAACACCCAGTATTTAAGCCAACAGAAGTAAGAAAAAGGCATTTTAAAAGAAGTTTAATTGTAAAGATAATGTTGACTCAGGAGCAGAGGAGGATGTAGAAAAAATAGAAATGAAAGACCGATGTTTTAGTATGCTGGAAGCATACAATTTTTGCTGGCAAATATTTCAAAGACCTTTTTTCCCCTAATGCCACAACCTAATTATTCTAATAATTTCATTTTACTTCATTTTATAGAACTATGGGATTTTAGAAGAGACTGTAGAGCTGATTTAGTTGTACCTAATTTTAACATGAAGAATCAAGTTTCAGAGAACTTAAGCTCTTTGACAAAGCAGGGAATAGGACCAGGATGTCAGGGATTCCTGTTAGCGCTCTTTGTAGTATACCCTGAGGCATGTGTCTATTCTGTGATGTATTGTTCGCATTTTAGAGTAACAAAGATAGGGCCACATATATTCAAGGGATATTGCTTGTTAGCAGGATGGGGATTAGAATTCAGATTTTGTGACTTGTAAAACAATTTTTTTAGTGGAATAATTAAGTTAGACTCTTATTTTGAATGAAATTGAATTTAAATTACCCATTTAAAATGTTGCTTCATTTATAGCCAGTGTGAGAACTATTTCAGACTAGAACTATTTCAAACCTCTTTCACTTTGAACCTCTGACGTATCCTATCTCCTTTTTTACTCTTAGTAACCTCTCATTATGGACTGAATTGTGTCCCCTCTCCCACCAATTCATATTGCAGTCCTAGCCCCTGGTACCTCAGAATGTGACTTTATTTGGAAAGAAAGTCTTTAAAGAGGTAATTAAGGTAAAGTTAGGCCATATGGGTGGGCCCTAATCCAATATAATTGATACTTTTATAAGAGAGACTAGGACAGAGACACTCAGAGGAAGGACCAAGTAAAGACAAAGAGAAGATGGCCATCTACAAACCAAGGAGCGATTCCTCAGAAGAAACCAACTCTGCTGATACCTTGATCTTGGACTTCTGGTCTCTAGAACTGTGATGAAATAAATTTCTGTTGTTTAAGACGCCCAGTCCTCTGTGTACTTATTAAGGCAGCCCTAGCAAACTAATATAGCTCTCTATTTTATAGAGAAAAAGAATTTACCAGATAAAAACATACCTGGTATCAGATACTCTTGTAGCCAACTTTACCTCTTTTCCTCTTACAGTAGAAGTAGCTATCCTCTTCTCTGAGGTATTTCCTACCACCACTGTCCCCCTCATTTTTTATACTTTAGTATCTTGAAATTATCATACTCCCTCCTACCATTGGACCTCCTGCTTTCTCAAAAACTACTCCATTTCTTCATGCTTATCCTTAGACTGTTTCCTTTCTTCATTATCTGTTCTTTCTTGTATTTCAACTGGATTCTTCTTATTAACACTAAAATATGCTCAGTTCACTACAACTTTTTAAAATATGTTCCCTTATTTCCTTAACCCCGCCTCTAGCTACCACCCCATTTCTTTCGGTTTTTTTTTTTTTTTTTTTTTCCTTACAGCCAGATTTCTTCAATAGTCTAAACTCATATCTTTCTTCTCTTTCCAGTCTTTAAATTGGCTCCAGTCTGGCATCTGCCTCCTCGCCATTATTCGTTTGAAATAGTTTAGTTTCATGTCACAAATCTAATGGACATTTTCAGTCTTTTAATTTTCCATCTGTTTTAGCCTTAAATACCTTAGATCTGTCAATTTTCCTTCATTTCCGTTGCTGCCGCCACCCTAGTTCAAGCTACCATCACCTGACTTCTGCACTGTAACAGTAGCCAGATAGCTAGATTTACTGCATCTTCACTTCCTCCCAGTGCATTCTCCACTGCAGTTAGAAAGTTACTAACATCACAAATGATGCCATTTTATCCTCTCCTTCATTAAAACTTTTCAGTTGTTTCTCATTTGTTGCTCTAAACATGGCCTTCAATGTTCTATATAGTATTAGAACCAGGAAAGAGGATTCAACTATCTCCCTTTACTTTCCCACTCTTATTTCTGAATTTAGCCACGCTTAAGTTTTGCTTCCTTGCACAAACTTGGTACTCGTTGTTCCCTCTGTATAGAACAAAGCCTTCCTTGACTCATCTTCCAGAGGTTAGGCGCTTCTTTTTTTCTCCCACTGGTATTTTTTAAATAATATTTTAAAATACTTTTGAGACTCACAAGAAGTTGCAAGAACAGTACAGAGTTCCCGTGTACTAGCTTCTTTCTGTTATTTTAGATCACCACAGTATTGTCAGACCAGGAAATTGATGTTGCAACAATACTATTAACTCAGGTACAGACCTTAGTTGGATTTCACAATTTTTATGTGTTTTTTTTTTTTTGTTTATGAAATATTACATGCATGGGTTCATGTTACCATCACCCCAGTCAGGGTATAGAACTGCACAAACTCCCTCTTCCTACTCCTTAAGAGCTACACTCTCCTCTAACACTAATATCTGGCATCCACTGATCTTTTCTCCATCAGTATTATTTCGTCACCTTAAGAATGTTATATAAATGGAATCATACAATATATAACTCTTTCAGACTGGCTTCTTTTATTCAGAAATATTTCCTTTTAGACCCATCAGTGTTGTTCCATGTGTCAATAGTGTGTTCCTTTTTATTGCTAAGTAGTAGTCCATCGTTTGGATGTGCCACAGTGTGGTAATCCATTCACTGTGGAAAAACATTTTGAGGTTTTTCACAATCCAGTGGGGTTTATTTCAGATAGGCGAGTCTTCTTCAATATTTTAAAACTGGTCAATGCAATCTATTAAGAAGAAAATAAAAACTTCACGATCATATCTACTGATAATAAAAAAGCATTTAGAAAAATTAAACACCCATTTACGATTTTAAAAAACTAATTCAGTAGCAGAAGGAATCTTCCTAAACCTGACCAAAAACATCAGCAATTAACAGTTATCATTATACTCGATGAGAGACTAAACGCATTCCTCCTGAGATTGGGAGCAAGGCAGGGATGTGCACTCTCAACCACTTCTGTGTGACATAGTGCTTAACCTATTGGTGCAGTAAGGAAGGAATAAAAGACATGCAGATTGGAAAGGCGAAAGTAACTTTACAGATAACCTAATGGTCTACATAGAAAATCTCAGGAAATCTCCAAGAATATCCTTAACTAATGAGTTTAGCAAGATCATAGAATACAAAGGCAACAAAAATCAATTGTATTTCTACATGTTAGCAATAAACAATATCATTTACAAACACTCAAAAATATTAAGTATACAATTTTAAAACCATGTACAGGATATAGTTGCTGAAAACTACAAATGCTAATGAAAGAAAGACCTAGAAAATGGAGAGAGACCATGTTTATGGATTGGAAGATAATAATAAATGTCAGTAGTCCCCCAAATGAACTATCTGGAGGTTTAATATAGTTTCTATCAAGATCCCAGATGGATACTTTGTAGATAGACAAACTTTGTAAAATTTATATGAAAAGATAAACTGGAATAGCCTAAACAACTTTGAAAATAATTTTGAAGGAATCATCAAACTACCAGATAGTAAGAATTATGTAATTAAGTAATCACAACAATGCGATATTGCTACTACTCGTGTGGTTTTGTCAGCATATAGACATAGAGTAGTGGAACACAAGAGAGTCCAGGATAGATCCACACCAGTATGACAAGCTAATTTTTGAGGAAGGTGCTTAAGCAATTCAATGGAGGAATTGTGCTGGGACAGTTGACTCTTCAGAAAATGACATTGGAACAATTGGACATAGCAAAAAAAAAAAAAAAAAAAAAACCCTCAACCTAGACTTCCCACCTTATAAAAAAATTAAAATGGGTCATGGATCTAAATATAACATAAGAAAAGGAAAGTTATAGGAAAATCAGGAAGAAATCTCTGACATAGAGTAGGCCAAAATTCTTCAAGTGACAACAAAGGTATAATCATTTATATAAAAAATAAACAAATTGAACTTTGTCACAAAAAACTTATTCTGAGAAAGACCCTGTTAAAGAAGATGGAAAGATAAGCCAGAGAAGACCATATTAAAGAAGACAAGCCACAAAGTATTTGCAAACATATTCAATAAAGGTATTGTGTCCAGAAAATAGAACTTGCAAAATTCAATCAATAGTAAGAAAACACTTTAATTAGAAAATGAGCAAAAGACAAATTTCAAGAGGCTGGAAGGTTGGCAAATATGCACATGAAAAGATGTTCAACATCATTAACTACAGAGAAGTACAAATTAAGCTATAATGACATACCATTCAACATTTATTAGACTGGCTAAAATAAAACATACCGATAAATCCTATGTGCTGATGATTATAAGGAACAATTTGGAAATGTCAAGTGTTTAGCTCCTCTGGAGAACAGTATGTTGTATACTTTTATATTATCAGGTATGTTTCATTTGGAGCATTTATCATTTTAATTATATTTTCAGGTGATGATCTTCCCCAGTAGGTGAGACCATGTCTGTTTTTGTCCACTACGTCATTCCAGCTTCTAGTACCAATGCCTGTGCATGGTACGTATTTGAGTGAATTAAAAATACGATGCACATTATGGTATAAATATCTAAGAAGCCTTCTAGAAGTAGTTTAGCTTAACTTCTTCATTTAGTTTCCTGGTTAAAAAAAATTGTAATCAGAAAGTCACTTCAAAAATCTAATCTACATATCATGAACAATATGATCAAGGCAGCCAATGAGATCACATATATACCACATAAATCGCACAAAAAAATCAACATCTAGCAATTTAACTACTCTAAGATATATAAACTGGAGCCATTCTCAATAGCTGCAGAATTTTCCCTAACTCTAAGGATATGGTGAATGGCCAAGAGTAATTAATTGGCTATTGAGAGTTCTAGTTTAAAGTTCTCAAAGTGTGGTCATTACTGAACTTATTAGAAATGCAAATTATTGAGCCTCACCCCAATCTACTAAATGACTCAAACAATTTATCTTTTAACAAGCCCACCAGGTATTCCTGAGGCCCACTAAAATTTGAGAACCATTGGTCTAGACTAGCTAGACTCAGTTAATTGAAGACTGATAGGAAGACTCAAGTGATTCTGTGGATTTCAGTCTTATTCTCTTTGTTTTTTATTTTGTTTGTATATGGCATTCTTTGTATTATCCCCTTTTATTCTGCTTTATTTTTCCCGTTTTACCATTTTGTTTTCTTCCGCAGCCCTGTTTTTCCTGGATGCTATAATAAAGAACTGAGGTATATATGTTTTGTATATTGGATGAAATAGTTTTCTCCTTGTAATTTTAAAATTAATGTATATGTAGAATTATTGCTATTTTTTCTCAGAAGTCAAGCTGAATTTATTTGATTTATATTAGCTCACCTTGATAGCTTTTAAAATTTATTTTTTTTAAAAGAAGGGGGATGGGAGTGGGTCAGTAGTCTTTTAAAAAAAGGTCTATCTACACACGTATCCACAGATGTTCATATATACATCTCTCCTCCTCCCTCCATGTATATGTATATTTGTATTTTTTTTTGCAACCAAATATAAGAACCACAATGGGGTATAGAAGGTATGAGCTTTATGATATAGCAGAAAAAAAGAATAATATCAAATCCTCTATACTCATTGTTTCTTAATATAGAAACCTGATAATTTGATTTTGATGACCAAAAAGTTAAATTAGAAGCATATTTGAACAAACCATGTCAGCCACAAATGAGTGAATTCCAATAGGGTCAATTGCATCTCTACTATTTAATATAAGAAAACTTAAGCACTATAGAAAGTTAGAACTTATTTTCAAGTCTTTAGATCCTGGAAAAATTCCTCTACCTCAACAAACTGCTGCCACTAAAACAAACTTGGAGATAGTAATTTGGCAAATAAGTCACAAAAAGGGAAACATCTACTTGCAGATATCCAAGTAATAATTAAACTTTCTAAGCAGAGAATGGATAATGACTTTGAAGTAATCTGAGCTTATGCCTAACTAACTTGAGAGATATACTATTGATAATTTTGTGAATTCAATTCCTTTTTTAAGCAAGTTAAATATTACATAAAAACATGGATGACAGTTATGTGACAATGTGGTTTTATCAGATGGATGACCAAAAAAGTTGAGGTTTATCAAAAAGCATATTCTTTAATAACTCTAGGTGGCAATGCATAACATAATATCGCATCAATTTAAAGTCAATTTGAAGGACTCCAGAGTGGTAACTATAGCCAGTGGTTTTAAGAGCTGGATTCAAACAACAGCTGATTTGGGATCCAATTTCACTTACTGGTCTACATGTCTTACTTAGTATGTCTGAGAGAACCAGAGACAACACAGCCTCATTGGTTGATAATTCCCCAATCTCCCCACTAGGTCTGAGTTTAAAAAAAACAAAAAGACTGGGATAAATATGGTTAGAGTTCTCGTGAGGGCAATCAAAGTTGGGTGGTTCCAGATAAAAAACGACTGAAGAACAACTATAAAAATTGTCTTGCTAAAAAGAACTTTGAATAGCATGATCTATCTCTGATTTAAGGAAACTAATAGCAGTCAGGAAATGGACATGGTACCAAACAAGTGGTTGTATCACAAGTAGAACTAAAGAGAGCGCTGATGTTTGCACAAATACAGTCTTAAAAATATTAGCATAAGAGGGAGTTTTAAAAAACAAGCTAAAGATGTAAAAGTAGTTGAATACAAGATTGATTCTTTTCATTTTGGGGAGATACTGCTAAATATTTCATTTTTCTGCATGACATTTCTTTAAATAATGTTTTCCTCACAAATATTTACTTGTCGAGAGAGAATCATAATATTTTGTTATTAATAATATACTAATTTAGCTTAACTTTGAGTTTGAACTTAATTTTCTACTAACAGATCTCAAATGTCAGTGGATTAGGTTTTGAATTCATATTTTAACAGTGATTGATTAGAAACAACAAAACTTGATTTTCAATTATGTTTTTTTCCTTCTACAGGCTTGTAGAAGTACGCCACCTAGAGTTTTATAATTTTTAAAGTATAAAAACTGTTCAGCTGGTTTGATGTTATTTTAAGCTACAAAAAAGTCATATTTTAATCAAAATCAAGCTAAATATTATAGTAATTTATAATTTTTATATGCTTTGTTTTTACATGCTACTTTCTCAATCTTGCTGTAGAATATTTTTAATAATTCCAGAATTAGCAATTTACCTAATATGCCCTCTTGAGATGGATATCAGATCAAACTCAAGAATTATTATTTTTAAAACAATTTAATGACACGAGGATCTATAATATGTTATTAAAAACTAAAATGATTATAGAAATATTTGAAATATAAATGAGTTTTGTATGTATACATAAATACACACACAGTGAACATTAATTTTGGTGTGTTCCATGAATTTTTTAAGTATGATTGTAGCATAGCCATTGAGGAAGCTTTGATGTTAGAGATCTGAACATACAAGTAAGTAAAGTTTTTCAAATGCTAATAAAATGTGGATGAAAAGAAATTTTTATTCGGCATCTGTGGTTTTTCACTTGGACATGAAACATGCTTTTTGCCTTGGGGGAAAACCCCCCCAAAAGAACAGGTTTTAAAATTTATCCATAGACCTATATGTCTTTATTGACTGTATAAGACATTGAGACCTACAGGCTTCTTCACCTAGGTAGTGTTAAAAAGCACCGACATTTTCTTTTTATCCCCTTTCTTATTGACGTATAATTGACATATTGTGTAAGTTTAAGGTGTACAATGTGATTTGATACATATATATGTAGCAAAATGTTTACCACAATAAGCTTAATACATCTTTCACCTCCCATAATTACCATTTTGTCGTTATGATGAGAACAATTAATATTCATTCTCATAGCAACTTACAAGTGTGTAATACAGTGGTGTTAACTGTAGTCACCATGCTGTGCATTACATCCCTGGAACTTATTTGGCTTATAATTGGACATTTCTGCCCTTTGACCAACATTTTGCCACTTTCTCCAACTCCCAGCCCCTGGTAACCATCAATCTACTCTCTGTTTTTGAGTTTGACATTTTTAGTTTCCATATATAAGTGAGATCATACAGTATTTTTCTGTGTCTGATTTATTTCACTTAGTATAATGCCCTCAAGATCCATCCAGGTTGCCATAAATGGCAGGATTTCCTTCATTTTTATGGCCAAATTATATTTTATTGCATATGTACACACCACATTTTTTTTACCATTTATCCGTTGATGGACAATAGGTTGTTTCCATGTCCTGGCTATTATGAATAATGCTACAATGAACATGGGAGTGCAGATATCTTTTCAAGATAGTAATTTCTTTTCTTTTGAATATATGCTCAGAAGTAGGATTGCTGGATCATATGGTAGTTTTATTAATTTTTAAATAATTTTTAATCTCCATACTGTTTTCCATAGTGGCTATACCAATTTATGTTCCTACCAACAATGCACCAGATTCCTGTTTCTCCACATCCTCTCCAGCATTTGTCTTTTTGATGGCAGTCACTCTAATGTGTGAGTAGTATCTCATGGTGATTTTGATTTGCATTTCCCTAATGATTGGTTGTTAAGCACCTTTTTTGTACTTGGTGGCCATTTCTATGTCTTTTTAAAAAAATATTTTTTATTTTTCAATTATAGTTGGCATACAATATTATATTAGTTTCAGATAGACAACATAGTAATTAGACATTTACATAATTTATGAAGTGATCACCCTGATAAATCTAGTATCCATCTGACATCGTACATAGTTATTACAATATTACTGACTATATTCCTTATGGTATACTTTACATCTCCATGACTATTTGGTAGCTCCCAATTTGTACTTCTTAATCCCTTCCCCTTCTTCATTCACAGCCCCAACTACCCTCCCATCTGGTAATCCTAAAAATGTTCTATCTTTGAGTGTGTTTCTGTTTTATTTCGTTATTTTGTTCTTTAGATTTCACATCTGAGTGAAATCATATGGGATTTGTCGTTATCTGACTTACTCCACCCAGTATAATACCCTCTAGATTCTTCCAGGTTGTTGCAGATGGCAAGATTTCATTCTTTAATTAATTTACTTATTTATTTATTTTTATGCTTGAGTAATATTCTATTGTATATGTGTACCACCTCTTTATCCACTTGTCTACTGATGAGCACCCAGATTGCCTTCATATCTTGGCTATTGTAAATAATACTGCAGTGAACATATAGATGCACATGTCCATATGTTCAAATATCAAAGCAGTATTTTGGGTTTCTTCAAATAAATACTCAGAAGTGGAATTACTGGGTCCTCCTTTGTCTCATCTTTAACCTTTGTCATTCTCTTAAAATAACATCATTATAATAACATTCTCTTAACATTCCCTTAAAATAGCATCAAACCAGCTGAACGGTTTTTATACTTTAAAAATTATAATTCTCACTTTTTTCTTTAACCTTTGGCATTTTAATTATGATGTGTCTTCGTATGGGCCTCTTTGGATTCATCCTGTTTGAGACTCTCTGCACTTCCTGGACTTGTATGTCTATTTCCTTCACCAGGTTAGGGAAGTTTTCTGTCATTATTTCTTCAAATAAGTTTTCAATTTCTTGCTCTCTCCTCCTTCTGGTACCTCTATAATGCAAATGTTGGTAGCTTGATATTGTTCCAGAGGCCCCTTAAACTAGCCTCATTTTTTCTTTTCTTCTTTTTTTTTTTGGATTCCTTTTTCTTGTTGATGTTCTGACCAGGCATTTTCTGCTGCTACCTTATCTTCTAAATTGCTGATTTGATCCTCTGCTTCATTTAGTCTACTGTTGATTCCTTCTAATGTATTCTTCATTTCAGTTATTGTATGCTTCATTTCTGAATTTTTTTTTATGTTTTTAATCTCCATTTTTATATTATCTATCTCTTTGTTAAAGTTCTCACTGAATTCATCTACTCATCCCCTAAGTTCATTGAGTATCCTTATAAGCAGTGTTTTAAACTCTGTATCTGTTAGATTGATTATCTCCATTTTTTTTAGTTATTTTTCTGGAGCTTTATTCTGTTCTTTCATGTGGGACATGTTTCCTTGCCTCTCCATTTGCCTGCCTTCCTGTGTTTGCTTCTATGTATTAGGCAGGGCTCCTAAGTCTCAGTCTTAGTAGAGTGGTTTTATGAAGTAGGTGTCCTGTGGGGCCCAGTGGCACAGTCTTCCCTGGTCACCTAGCAAGTTTCTTCAGTTGTGTCGCTTGCATGGATTGTGTGTACCCTCTTGTAGTTCAGCCTTGGTTGCTGTTTGCATGTTGATGGAAGGGATTGACCCTTGGGCCGATAGGTTGTGAGGATTGGCTGGTGAAGGGCTGACTTTATGGAGCAGGATCCACTTTAGCAGGGCTCTGGTGCTGGGGAGCCCAGTGTGGAGCTGGGACCCCTCACTCCCCTGGGGGGGCCCGCCGCAGCCAAGATAACCCTCCCGATTCTTGACTGCTACACGCGGTTGTGGGACTGGCTTATTTCATGTCTCTGCCCCTTCTACTAGTCTTGTGGTGACCTCTTATGTCTGTCCCCAGTTGTAAGACTTCTGTTCAGCCAGATCTCAGGGAATTCCTGATGATGGTTTTTCTGTAGTTTTGTTGAAATTTTGATGTGTTTGTGAGATGAGGCGAGCACAGTGTTTACCTTCTATGCTATCTTGACTGGAAAGACTTTTTCCCTATGATTTTTTCTAGGAGTTTTACATTTTTAGGTCTTATATTTAAGGCCTTAAACCATTTTAAATTAATTTTTGTGAGGGGTGTAAGACAGAGGTCCAGTTTCATTTTTTGGCATATGACTATTCAGTTTTCCCATCATCATTTATTGAAGAGACTACCTTTTCCCCATTGAGTGTTCTTGGTTTCCTGTCAAATAACAGTCGACCATATAGATGTGGATTTATTTCTGGGATCTCTATTCTAACCTATTGGCCTATGTATTTGTTTTTATGTCAGTAGCAAACTGTTTTGATTACTATAGCTTTATAATATAGTTTGAAATTAGGAAGTATGATGCTTCCAGTTTTGTTCTTTCTCAAGATTGCTTTGGCTAATCAAGGTCTTTTGTGTTCTATATGAATTTTAGAATATTTTGTTTGTTTCTGTGAAAGTTTCCATTGGAATTTTGACAGGGATTACATTGAATCTATAGATGGTTTCCGTAGTATGAACATTTTAACAATATTAAATCTTGTGATCCGTGAACATGGGACATCTCATTTATTTGTACCTTCATTTTTTTTTTTTTAATCAAGGTCTTATAATTTTTGGTGTGTAGATCTTTAACTTTCTTGGTTAAATTCATTCCTAAGTATTTTATTGCTTTTGATGCTATTGTAAATGAGATTGTTTTCTTTATACTTTTTCAGATAGTTCATTGTTATTGTATATAAATGAAACTGATTTTTGTATGTTGATTATGTACCCTGAAACTTTACTGAATTTCTTTACTAGTCCAAACGTTTTTTTGGTGGCCTTTAGGGTTTTCTCTGTACAAGACTATGTTATCAGCAAACAAAGACAATTTTACCTCTTCCTTTCTGATTTGGATCCCTTTTATTTTTTTTTCTTGCCTAATTGTTCTGACTAGGACTTTAGTACTAATTTAAATAAGAGGGGTGAGTGTGGACACCTATGCCTTCTTCCTAATCTTAGAGGGAAATTTTGAAATATGTGTTCTTGAAGTATATCTCTTGTAGACATCATATAGCTGGGTCTTTTTTTTATTCATTCATTCACTGCATGCCATTTGATTGGAGAATTTAATCCATTTATATTTAAAGAAATTATTGATAGATAAAGACTTACTATTACCATTTTTTAAATTGTTTCCTGGCTCTTTTGTAGTTCCTATGTTCCTTGCATCCTCTTTCAGCATCTTCCTTTGTGAATTGATAATTTTCTGTAGTGATATATTTAGATTCTCTTCTTTTTTCTGTTGTGTGTATCTAATATAAGTTTTTGTTGTGTGCTTATCCTGAGGCTGACATAAAACATCTTATAGATGTAACAGTCTATTTTAAGGTGATAACTAAATTTTGTTTGCGTACGAAAGCTATCCTTGTACTCTTTACTCCCACATTTTGTTTTTGATGTCACAGTTTACATCTTTTTATATTGTGTATCCATTAATAAGTTATTCTAACTGTATTTAATACTGTTTTCCTTTAGCTTTTATTGTAGAGTTAAGTAGTAAATACACCATCATATTACAGTGTTAAAGTTTTCTGAATCTGACTATACACTTCCAGTGTGTTATATACTTTCATATGTTTTTAATTCATGTTACTAATAGTGTCCTTTTGTTTCAGCTTGAAGAACTCCTTTTAGCATTTCTAATAAGGCCAGACAAGTGGTGATAAACTCTTTCTGGTTTTGTTTGTTGGAAAAGTTTCTGAAGGACAACTTTTCCAGGTAAAGTATTTTTATTGGCTTTTTTTTTTTCTTTTTTACAACTCTGAATGTATCATCCCACTTTCTCCTGGTCTTCATGGTTGCTGCTGATAAATCCACTCATAGCCTTATGGGGATTCTCTTCTCTGAGAGAAATTTTTTTTCCTTTTGCTGCTGTTAAAAATTCCCTCTTCATCTTTGATTTGAGAGTTTTATTATAATGTGTCTTGCAGAACATTGTTTTAGAAATTTTAGAGTGACCTGTTCACTTCATGAATTTGGATATCCAGATCTGTCTCTATGTTTGTGAAGTTCTCAGACATTATTTCTTATTTAAGCTTTCTACCCCTTTCTTTGTTTCTTTTTTCTCTTTCTGGGACTTCCATGATATGTAATTTGCTTCTCTTAATGATGTCCCACAAGTCTCATAGGCTTTCTTAATTTTTTTTCATTCTTTTTTCTTTTTGCTCCTCTGACTTGATAATTTCAAATGATCTGTGTTTGAGTTCACCATTTCTTTTTTCCGCTTGGTGAGTGAGGTCTGCTATTGAAGCTCTTCTTCATTCATTGCATTCTTCAGTTCCAAAATTTCTTTTTGGTTCTTTTTCTGTCTCTTTGTTGAATTTCTCATTTTGTACTTGTATTGTTTTGCTGATTTCATTAATTACTTATTTGTTCTCTTGTAGCTCTCCAAGCATCTTGAGAACAATTATTTTGAATTCTTTATTAAGCAATTTCTGGATCTCCATTTCTTTGGCATCACATACTGGAAATTTACTGTGTTCCTTTGGTGATGTCATGTTTCCCTGATTTTTTTCTGACCCAGTAGCTTTGCATAGATATCTACACATTTGAAGAAACAATCACCTCTTCTAAAGTTTATGGACTGACTTTAGTAAGGAAAGACCTTTACCTGTGTTGGGGAACACACTGGAGCGTGTTGTAACCCATGTCTAGTTGTTCAGGGCACTAACTGCAGGTGAATATGGCACTTCTGGATCCTGGAGGGTCATAATGCCTCAGTGGCTCAGGCTGGTGGAGTCTCTAACATTTACACCTATGTGATCCTTGG